CCTGGTTGGTACCAGCCGTGTCTGGAAAGACAAAAGATGCCGAGCTATTTATACACCTAGGCGTGCTTGCTTGAATTATCCACTATCGGCGTGTATTCAGGTGGCTCTTGAGCCCTAACAATTACTGAGCGCACGGCGCATCCCGGAGTGGTTGTCCCAACAACGTCAAGGATTTTACGCATTTATTATTCATTTTGAGAGGCGTCAGTTTGTCACGGAACTCCTCCCACTGACATTTATTTATTTATATGGGACTGGTGCTCAAAGAGGCCACTTCACTAGGACGGGATGACGGCCAGCCATGTTGCAGTTATGATAGGGCTGACACAAAATAGCATTTCTGTGTTCATCAGTGGTCGGTAATGCAACAGGATGAGTCAGATTTCCAATGACTCTATTTTCCTTCCACTGCAGTGAATATCGTTATGACAGGAATAATCAGAAAAACGCAGGCAAGACCGATTACAGCTGCCCCCCCCCCGGCTACAAACGCTATCTAGTTTACAGCTTACACCGCATCATTAAGTGGAGGAGAACCAGCTGACGTCGCACCAACCTAGCCTCCCGGACATGCCCCAGCACCCGCCGCGAACAAGATACGGTGTGCCCCGTTCCCAAGGAAAATCCTCCTGAGAAGTTTTGTTATGATAACTGCTGTTTTACGCTGCAGTTCGCGTTCCGAAAGTTATAGCGTGAGGTGCGAGTTCTTTTCCCGCCTGAGGTTCGACTTACTCATAGCTCTTAACTTCCTAAGAATGAGGCTCTTCTGAGGGGGCATACCCTGAGGCCACCGTCCATTTTATTGGACACAGTTGTTGGCCAGAAGAACCAGCTCATCTTGTCAGGCGCGGACACTCTGGTCACAGGCAAAACTGGAAGAATACTCACTTGGCTCAAACGGCATACCAGAAAGCTTTGCGACACGTTTGCGACTTTCTTCACTTTCAGCATATCGTCCCTGGAAGACTCAATTTTCAGAGTGTCAAATACAGAACATCCTTGAAGACAAATTCCACAGCGTTGTGGGCAGGGTAGGGCTCGGTCGTAAACCTGTGGGTGCTAGTTCGCCCCTCGATTGAAAAAAAAGATTGAAGAAACAGTCGAGAAGGCTCTGTAAAGGACCCTATCCTCTCCCCATGTTCAGCATTCTGTGAACATCACTTCGAGGGAATACTGTGTGCTGCTGGAAAACCAAGCAGCGACCGTGAGAGAATGCAGAAACAAGAGTGTTACATTCCAAGCGGCACTTCCAGTGGGCGTTCCCCTTCCTGAAGGGTGTGTGCACCCTCAATAAACAAGCCCTGGCGCTTTTACTGCACATTTATGGTATAGGAGAGGGCATAGTGGCACATCCTTGCTGTGGACCCCTCCCCCTCTGGCCCTATAGATGGGAAAGATGAGTCTCTAGGTTGTCGTGGTATGTGTGTTCAAGGAGTGCTCAATAAACATACTACGATTGTACTCTTTACATACCTTTTTCCTCAGCCAAATATGACTTTCTGGCAGAATAAACAACACAATACAGAGCTTGATGCAGGCGATTATTGCTGATAAATACGATGAGAGACGCCATTCTCCCGCAAATAGACAGACCAACGTCAGCATAATACGACCGTTAGCCTGAAAAACAGAGTGGAACATCTGCATGCCTTTTTATTCCGATTGAGCGGAAAAGACACGGCTAGGATACTGAGACCAAAGAACAAGCCCAGCATATAGTTCGATAAACCTTACCCAGTTACTGAACGTTCTCAGTTTGAATCGTTGATGTGCAGAGACTAACTCAGAAAAGTACGCCCACCCGACAATCATGGTACCTGAAATATTAGTAAATAAATCAATAGGAACGTTTTGGTGCTGGAGTACTTCAGCGGGTCTATAGGTGGCGCCTCTGACTACCTTCTCCAACCAAGACCAATCTGAAAGCCTAAGCGACCAGAGTCACGGCAGACTCTCACAGAAAAGGCAGACAGTCTGCAATTCTGGTCGTTTGCGCTTCAAGCGTAAGCCTTGGTTAACGAGTGGGGCGCAGAGGCTGCTCCACGTGGCTTCCCTGAACTCCCCTAGCACTAGAACTAATCAACAATACACAAAAAATGGAAGTATTGATCGCCCATTTTATATGAACCTACCTGCGATTCCGATACCAGTCAATGCTCTCAAGAAATAGAACAGAGCGATACTGTCGAAGGCGCCTGAAAAACATTAAACTCGGTAGATTCGCACACACCGACAAAACGAAGGCAACGTACCAGATAGGGCAAGGGCCGGTATTCCGATGAACAACGAGATCAAGTAGGTCTTGCGACGTCCAATTCGGTCCGCCACGTAGCCGAGAATGATATTCCCGATCAGTACGCCAATGTATTGAGCGAAAGCGGGGCGGAAACTGAAAAGCGGCTTCTTCACCACATTTTTTGGCTTTCGGGATGGAATTATGTAGTTTTGAAAAGTTGGGGTGGGGGAGGGTGTTCCACTAGGACCGCAAAAGCCTGCCACACAACTAGTGTGGGATTCCCAGCCATCTCGTGTGCGAATTTGTTCCATACGTGACTGCAACGATCTTTAGCAAGACAAAGCTAAGGGACTCTACCTCATAAGTGACTAGAGCACGCATGAACAACCAAAGACAAGAAGAAGTTGGAACGGGCCCGCTCCTCAATATTCTGCCAAAATGCTGGGTAACACCTCCTTCTCGTCACTTCACCGCTATCCCTTTAGGTAGCTTACCCTTCACTTACCCCATTACCCACAATGGGCTCACCTTTGCGAAGTACATCAACGCGGGGGAGCCCCGCAATTCGATGACACCCCGGTCCTTATTAAGAAAATCCAGGGCAAGATAGAAGGCGGAAGCATTCATTAGGATAGTTACCACCTCCACCCGGTTTTGAGTAGAAATGCTAAACCATCAGTCATGGGATGAGAGCTGACGATTCTTGTATTATGGTTGGCCATCCTCGTTGACTACTTAAAGGCACATTCCGCGATAAAATAAGGCTATGACCTCTCAAATGTGTCGGACGATCCGGAAGGCGATTTTTGAGGCTGCGCTACTTTCAAAATGTGAAAAACGGCAAGAACTCCGCTAGAAGCTGACTAATTAGGCCCATGGACACCCCTTAGGCCCATGCCGACCCTCACCGGCTGCTAGCTACTAGCTAGTAGCCACTATGTTATCTTTCTCTATAACATTTCGGACTGCTTTTTCTGCTGCTTTTCTCCGCTAATCAGATACTTAGCACTTTTTTGTGCCTATTTGAGTTCCGTTTCCCGCAATTTGCGGTCGCGAACTGTGCCTTTAAAGCATTCAGTGCTATGTTCCGCGATGGTCCTGCTCCTCTTCAAAGGTATTGCAGGGGTATAGGTGGAGCAGTTGGTGCCAACACAGCGCCTCTCAGTGGCTAGTCGCTCGAAATCTCCCAGATAACTCCGCCCTCATTCCTGCTTTTGTTCTTTCTCTTAATTCTTCCAACCGGACCAGCTAAATGGCCATTGATTTCCTACAATGTGATCCCTAGTTTTCCAAACTTACTCTTTCCATCCAGGTTTACAGTATATGTTAAATTCCATTGCAGCGGATTTGTAATAGGCATGCGAATATTTCTGGACACATTCTGCCTAAAAATCACAAAATTCGTGATTTTAAGATTTTTGCGACTGTTTAAATACCAGCTCATAGAGATCACAGAAGCTTTTCTCACCTTAGCGGCTGGTAAAGTAGCGTTCGCGCAGAGATCTGGACAATCTGGGCATTCCATGCATTTGTTCTTCGGAGTTTCATAACATTTCTCTCCTAAACGATCAATGATTGATTGATTTCCTAAAGTCTCAACCATTTCCTCTGAACACTAAATAATAAAAATGGTCCTTTATGATCTAAACATTCAGAAATCATCTAAAGCCTCTCAATGTTGCTGTATAAATTCAGATATCGATGGAATTCCAAAACAATCCGCGACGTGGGGGTGGTATGCGATCCACCATTAGGGAAAGCGGTTTTGTGCAAGGATCATAAACAGAGCAGTGGCAGCACTGACGGGACACTGCCCCTGCTTCAACGCCTCACCACAGAGCGGTATCCCGTTGGTTGGAAATTCATGACAAATCGATTCACTACCGATGAAACCACGACACAGTAACAAGTCACGGCTCCAAATAAACAGTGAACCCGTCAAGTGGACCAGACGGTTGTTTGGACCATATTAGGTCCCATAGATCCATATTTCTAAGCCGCTGCCATTCCACGAACGACTAGAAGAGAAGATGAGTGCGCGGCGCAATCCATAGAGAAATTTATCAGCTCCTCTGGGCATCCTATTCCCATTCACTACAAGAAGAAGAGGGACACTAGAAATACTCCGAGGTTTCTGCATGGAAATAGATGCTCCATGGGGGGCGACCCTTTTACTGCGGCTGAAGCAGACTTTCGGAGCGAAATCCGAAATCCGGGCTCATTTTCGCTACATAAGAGCCACGGCTGAGTTCATTGGCTTATTAAAAAGCAAAAACTTCTGGTTTCTGAAATTTCTGAGTATTTTGCTATACGTTATGTCTAAGAAAAGTTATTTTCACTAAAAGGTGAAAAAATCGCGTTCACCAGAGCTTGTCCGCGTTATTTTCGGTGCGAGCCGCCAGGTAAGCTTAGTGATAACTTTCTTGTATTTCATATAGAACCTTCCTAGAGACAACGAATCCCGCTTTCCGCTTGGCAAAAGATCGTTCGCGGATGATGTTATGCACCTCTCAAGAAAGATAAAGTTTAAGAGGAAAAGCAGGCATGAGCGCTCCACCTTCACAGTACGCGATACAGCCGCACAACTGCAGATGTTGGACAGATACATCGATAGCCTGTAAGTGGGGAAAGCGAGAAGGAGGTCGCATGAACAGTCAATTCTGCAGAGGGGGCATACGGCCA